CCCACCTAACATTTTGGTTCACTCTTTCCATCTCCTCTCTTTTGTTGCTTTACCCTTTTATTTTCATATGGTTTGAAAGATAAATGTTTGTGGTTTTGTTGTTTCCTTCTTCCCTTTCTTGGTCTCTTGATTGCTTGATTTACCCCCCATACATACCAAGGTTTATTTTTGACTTTGGTTATTCTATATTTGGATGGCCATGAGTGCCTTATTGACTTGACTTTTGGTATGCATGGCTTTGTCGTTGATCATGCTCTCTTCTAGCGCAATTTGTATATACATTCTCAAGTTGTTCTCGTTTTGTGAATATTTGTTTGTATAGCGTCTTTTCCTTTGAAAACAAGGCAAGTTTGCATATGTGTTTTGATCCGTTCTTGTTTTGGTCTTACTACTTTGAACTTGTGTCCTTGAATGTTTTCCTTCCTAATTGGTAATGGTATGCACGGTTTGAGAGTGTTTTGGGTTGAGTTAAACATATTTTAATGCTAAGGTAGCGGTTTTAAGAACTTTGGGATACTTGTAGCCTTAATCCATGGTTGTGGTAAGACGGTGTCGCTCTCCATAGTGGATATGAACCCCTTAGGTCGGTAATTGCTATACAAATCCCGTGTGAGGTTTATTTGTTCTAGCCTTCATCAACTTTGTTGAGTGGCATATTTGGATCCTTGGTTATGCATTTTTCAATCCAGAGTTTGACTTCTATCTACCCGAGATCGTGACCGAACCCTTTAAGGGAGGAAATAGGCATTTTTCATTTTCTTATCCTTCTTTTTGTTTTGTTACAAAATTGGTTTTCTTTTAAATTTGCCCCTCTTGCTAACCCTTTGAGCCTATTTCCCTTTCTTGATTTTGAGCCACATTACGAACCGAATGACCTTTTGTTCCCCTAAACCTTTTGTTTATGTGAAGCATGTTGGTTTGAGAATTGTTTTGTGTTGATTTTGAACGCAAATGAGAAAGTTGTAGTTCTTTGGTCAAGCAAGTGAGTAAACTGTGATTCTATTCAGTGAAATAAGAGCAAATGCTTATGAAAAGCCGTCCTTACTCAAATAAGGTAAGGACCAAAAAAAAAAAAAAAAAAAAAAAAAAACCTTCATATCCCTCGTGTTAAAAAAAAAAAAAAAAAAAAAAAAAAAAAAAAAAAAAAAAAAAAACCTTCATATCCCTCGTGTTAAAAAAAAAAAAAAAAAAAAAAAAAAAAAAAAAAAAACCTTCATATCCCTCGTGTTTGAGCATTGAGGACAATGCTCCGTTCAAGTGTGGGGGAGTCCTGTTTCTTAGTCTTGTAAGTGTGTGTTTATTGAATAAGTGTGGGGGAATACCACCAAATTTTTAAAATTTTCAAAATTTTTCCCACCTTACACCCCAAGCATACCCTTACAACCAATAAAAGACCTTTAGATCCTATATAGTTTAGTCTTTATCGATGGAGGAAGATAGTTGTCAAGCTTTTAGAGAGACAGTGCATAGCCAAGACGTAGGGATAACCTTCTCATCGTTTTCATTTCTTTATCTTTTTCCGGTTCCTTCGAGGAACCATGAGAAGCCCACCTAATGGTTGACTTGAAGCTAGTGGAGAGAACGCGGCTAGCTAGTTTGGGATGAAAGGTGAATTGTACGGCTCTTAGTTCTCTATGCTTAGCTTAGTCTATGTTTCTTTCAACCCTAAACATCTTGGAACGTGCATACCCTTATTTGTTTAGAAAGTTGTGCATTCATTGGTGCTTGTTTCGTTCCAAAAAGTCCACCAAGAACGTCTTGTTTTTGTGTTTATTTTATTTGTCTATGCATTGCCTTGTTTGTGTTGCTTTATGTGTAGAGTTATGGGTTAAACTCTTTGGAAACCCTTACGAGAGCACACTCGTCCTCAAAGGCGACTTTGAGGTTTAAATGGCTTGTTGTTTACGCTAAAAACAACCGTGATTCCTACGAAAGTGAGTTAGTGTATATTCTTTTTCACCCCTCTCCTTTTAGTGTTATTAGATCCTTTTTCTTTCTTTTTGTTTCTGCTTTTGTTCTTGCTTGAGGACAAGCAAGAGGCAAGTGTGGGGGAATTTGATAAGTGGCATTTATGCCACTATTTAGATCCTCTAATTGCGGTATTTTTCTACGTTTGTCCCTTGTTTGTACCCCTTTTGCTCCGTTTCTCCCTTTATTATGTTTTTGTGCTTTTCCTCGTGTTTTGTAGGCTTTTGGAGTTGATTTTAATAGAATGAAGAGCTTGGAGAATTGGAGTTCATTTGAAGAGCTACAAAGGAAGTTAAGGAGCAAGCAAGCAAGGCCATACGGACAGCGCGGGTCGTGCTTTCAGAATGGCGCGGGCGCGCCAAACCAAGCGCGGGCGTGCCTAACATTGGGGTTGAAAATATTGAAGGAGGCAGAATGTAGGCGCGATTTGGGCGCGGCTTAGGCGCGGGCGCGCCTAAGATAGGCGCGGGCGCTCCTAAGATAGGCGCGGGCGCTCAAGGGCCTGAACTCCAAAGCTAACCTTTGTTCACTCTTTTAGCCATAACTTTTTATCTACAAATTGGATTGAGGTGAATCAAGTTGCATTGGAAACTAGACTTAAAGAGCTTTCCAACGGTCGGTTGCACGCCCATAGAAGACTCCTAGAACAGAAGTTATGGCCGTTTGAAAATGAATGTCGCTGTCAGGCCAATCCCAGTGCGCGGGCGCGCAGGCAAATATCGCGGGCGCGCACGAGCAGCTACGGGTCTTTTAAAGGCTTCTTCCTCTCCTCTTTTTATAAGTTTGGATGGTGGGTTTCTTTGGGGTTTTCTCTCTCCTCTTTGAGGGGTTAAACCCTAACATCTCTCCATCAATCTTCACATAAATTAGGCTTAGATTTAGTTTTAATCTTTGTTTTTATACTTTGCAATGTAGATTAAGAGTAATTTAGGGTATTTTAGAGAGAGAAAGTGAAGAGCTTCAATGGTGGATTGAAGAAGATGAAGATGCAAAGTGACATTGTTTTGGATTCCTTTTCAATACTTCAATGAGCATTCTAAACTCTATCTCATTTATTGTTCTTTCTTAATTTCTTGCTTGATTAGAGTAGTTGTTTAGTTTAATTGCTTCTCTTTGTTCTTCTTGTTGGGTTTTGTGTTAGTTGTTCATGATTAGTGAGTAATTCCCTTTACTAAGGGATTGGTGATAGCATGTGGTGAATCTTGAATGTATTAGGCTGGACAAATGTTGGTTATATGTGATTAAATATACCTTGTAACCATGTTTTACTAATTACTCCATGTGAATGGCCAATCATGTGTTGTAATTGGGTGGATTGAACTAAGTTATGACGATAGTGTAACTTAGGGATATCCATTAGGTGATCGATTCTATGCAAAAACCTTAACTTTCACAGCTTATGACGATAGTATGAGCATGTGTTAAGTTGGGAAAGCCTTTGACCCCGATAGGTGGTTAGATGGTATTGTTGGTATTGCCTTATATGAGATATTTGGTTTGCATGTAAACTCATTTCCATTGCCTAACTTTATTGAAGATCATTGTCATGTTTGACCCTCTCCCTTGGTGTTAGTTTAACTTAATATAAATCTCATTTTTGTTTATTGTTCTATCCATCCTATCTCTTTGACCTAGCTTAATTGGTGGTGGTGTTGATAGTGTTTATGCCGTCTCCGTGGTTCGACCCTCTACTTACCACTAAACTTGTTTAGTGTAGGTGTAGGTTTATAAATATTGTTTGGTTGAGGGTAGTTAGTCCAACGACCTAATTATCCTTCACCAAGTAAATATACTGAAGCTTTGCTTGGTTTGAATGGGTTTGGAGGAAATGATTTTGGATTTTGGAAGGAGTTTGACTTCGCTAGTTTGGATAGGAAAATATAGCTTCTTTATTCTTTAATACCTTAGGCCTAGTAATTTCTGTTCCTCAGTATGTATTTGGCTTTGATTTTTCTTGTTTCATTCTTGGTATTTGATTGTATTTAATGGCATTATTTTTGTTAAAGAGGTCTATTGACTAAGAAGATTTTGCAGTCTTTATATGGCATGTAATGGTTCAGAACTTGGGTAACATTATCAGAGCAATTAAAGTCTTAGAAAGGTTGTTCAATATTATAACAAGGAGATATTGGCCTAAGAAGTCCACTTACTTCTGTTACATTTTCCTACTCATCTATCATCATCATATTAGAGTAGTGGGATGGTCTTTAGATGCTAATAGTTTGACTGACAAAACTGAGTGGCTCTCGCTCTTATTAGCAGTATCAGGTGGTGGATTGGTTAATTTCAAATTTGTTGTAATATGTATATCAGTATTCACTATGTTTCTAAACCAGAGAGAGAAGAGTTCTCTGTAAAATTTGTGTGTTTTATGAGGATGTAGTAATAGAAGTGTGTAAACTAAGCTTTAAGAGGCTTATACATACAATATTACATTTGGTTGTACGATATGTTCAATTGTAACTTGGAAGCATTTAAGAAATCTTGGCCCTTTCTGGTTTTGGTTGCTTGCATGCTTATAGGCATTTTTACTTGAACTCGGGTACATGTGTCCATTGCGAGTTTATGTCCCAAGTGTTAAGACTCAAATTTCTGATGATTAATTTCTGACTAACATTGCTTATATGTGCTATTGTGCTTATCTTGTTGAATTCCTGTTGCATTGTAGACTAGGATATTCATGATTTTGGTCTAAAATGACGTGGTAAGTGTATCTGTACTAGTCTTATGGTGTGAATGAAGAGTCTGAGCAACTTAGCTTGGCTTATATGTGTTCTTCTAGAGGGTGTTCCTTCTGTAACTTGCTGGCGAAGTCGACCTTATCCCAGATGATTCTGGATAGGGACAGTCTAGCCAGTATTCCACTGGAAAAGTTGTAGATGAAACTCTTTGTAAGGACCAATGATAAAAAAAAAGTATTCTATGCCCATTTTCAATAGTGTAAACAGAAGCTGTGACACTTTTCCTTCCATCATCTCCATTACCACAATTCTCATATAAACTTGTAATGCATTGAATTCCTTATTATTATTAGAGTCTTGGATTATTATTTTGCAGTTTTTTTGTGTTAGAAAACTCGAAATGGCATCTAGAAGAATTGTAAAGGAGCTTAAGGAACTGGAAAGAGATCCACCTAGTTCTTGCAGTGCAGGTAATCCAAAATATGAGATTTGCAATTCTAATTTGTCTAACTAGTCCTTATTCATTAATCTTTTTCGTCGCTTCTAATCTCACTAGCTGGTGACAAATATAGGTCCAATTGCACAAGATATGTTCCATTGGCAAGCAACAATTTATGGTCCAAACGAGAGTCCTTATGCAGGAGGTGTTTTCCTTGTGAACATCCATTTTCCACCTGATTATCCCTTTAAGCCTCCTAAGGTATATCATTATTTCATTTCATATTTCTCGAATTTAAGTAGAGTATTAAATTTCATTTCTGTTGTACAATAATAGTTATTGTAAAAACGAGCTTAAAATCATAAAATTTATCTGTAGGTGGCCTTTAAGACGAAGGTATTCCATCCAAATATTAATAGCAATGGGAGTATTTTCCTTGATATACTTAAGGAGCAATGGAGCCTTGCACTCACCATATCCAAGGTCATCATCCCTGTTTTTTTCTAACAAATTACATATGCATGAAATATAACTTATACCCTGAACCTACTGTTGAAAGGTTGCTGCTGTTGATGTCTTTTTCTGATGCCCATTATTGCTTTATTGCTTTTGTTATTTTTTATTTATATGGTTGATGCTTTAGTTGTTTGCTGATGCTTTTCATTGTTGTATGTTTTTGTTGCTGAGTTCATGCTTTTTATAGCCTGCTACATCTCTAAATTATCAATCAATGAGGACATGATTCTTGAGTTAGATTCTTGAGTTACTACTCGTACTTTCTGTGTTCTTCATACTACTTGAAATCGTACTACATGGAATAGCTGTTCTCATCATCTCTAGAGAGTCTTTAGCTGAACTAGAACTTTCTGTGTTCATCATATTCAAACACTCTTTGAGTTATGTCACTATTTGAGTCATTGTTGGCCTATCTGCAATTTCTAGCTGAATACATCTCACTACTAGTTCTACTGCTTTCCACACAGTGAGATAGTTGTCATCTACATGCGTACCGTGTCTCAGGTTCTGGTCTAGTATGCTGGCTATATCCCCTCTTTCAAGCACACTCCTAACCCATTGACCCAAGTTCATGACTCTGTTTACTATTGTTGTTTTCCCTGTGATTAGCTCCAACAGGACAACCCCAAAGCTGTAAACATCGCCTTTTTCATGCACTTGTCCTGTTAAATTATACCTGTAATAATCATTGTGGCATAAAAGTTTTACTTTGGTAAAAGAGTGTTAGAATATGTGAGATAGTCATGTATGAATGACAGAAATGGCTCACTTACTGAGGATCAAGATAGCCTAGTGTTCCAACAACCCTTGTTTGTAAATTTGAAACATATTCAGCTGAGAAGATTTTGGAAAACCCAAAATCAGCTACCTTTGCTCGAAATTCTTTGTTTAGAAGAATGTTAGCGGGTTTCACATCTCTATGAACTATAGGAGGGCTGCAACCATGATGCAAGTAATCCAGTCCTATATATAGAGTTACACAACAAATTTTAATATATTGAGTGATCTGATAAAAAAATCTGATTTAGAAGCAGACACGAATGTTATGTTATATCTCTCACCCTGAGCTGTGTCGATTGCTATCTCAACTCTCTTTCTCCAGCTTATGGAGTCAGAATATTCTGTTCATAAACCACCCAAAAATCAAATTGATTGTTGTTGAAAGTAAAAAAAAAAGAAACATTTGGTTCAATTAATAAGTGCAACAGCTAGGAAAAAATAAAGGACTATAGAAGTTTTAGGATGCAAGGTCCTACCTGAGAGAAGAGCTTTCAAGTCTCCCATGGCCATGAACTCGTAAATAAGTGCCAAGTTGGTTCCTTCTTCACAGTATCCAACGAGAGAAACCAAATTCTTGTGAGAAATTCGACCAACACTTCAATCTGTGCCAAAACATTTCTTAAGGCTTTAGCTCTCATATCATACAGCATAAATGATATCAAGAGAGCATGATTCTCTATTTGGTTGCCTAATTACGAACCTTAAATTGCTTAGGGGCCTCGGTCTTTGAGAACACCTTGACTGCAACTTCTTTGCTGCCATCTTTTAAACAACCATCATCTGTGCCTTTTGAACTTTTCTCATGTTGATTGTGGCCTTGGTCTATTATAATTTATAATTTAGTTCAATTATATTTCTATTAGTTTTTCAAATTTTATGTGTAGGTGCATGGGGAACTAAATGGAGCTGAAGTATAGTGACTAGTCATCTAACAAATGGTGCATATATGTTGGCGACTCTTATTCAAGTTTCGACTTTGTGAAGATTTGGAAATTCCAGCTTATATATATATATATGTTGACAATTTGTATTTTAGACGATTAAATTAATTATATAACTTTTATTTTTTATTAGTAGGGTATGTCATACCTAAACAAGCAAGTAATATTTTGTAATGTACGTATTTCGCATTATAATTATTATATATAAATGATACTGTTTTTCTGTTAGTATATTTAGATTTGTACGGACTAATTATACATATATTATATTACCATTTCATCCCAACAAAAAAAAAAAACCAATGATCAATCCGTTGCAGTAGATACGTACTCCTATCATTGTATTAATTATCTTCATCCGTTGCAATAGGTTCAATTTCATCATAATTATTAGTCAGTACTCTATTGCCACGAATAAGTTATGCCGTTGCAACAGGTATTGGTCTATTGCCACGGATCATTGGTGCCGTGGCATTAGGTGTCATATGTCGTTGCATGAGACCTACTGCAACGCCAACAGATGCCACGGTACATGGCCGTTGCATTAGGCCTAATGCCACGGATTTTGACGCCTAATGCAACGGATTTGGGGGTTGCAATAGATAAAAAATGTAGTAGTGTTTGGACGACTGATTAGGATCCTTTTTAATCTTATTGTTAATTGAAGTGATCACAATATTTAGAATTAATTGTGCATTAATATTCAACCAATTTAGCTAATATTAGTTTGGAGCAAAATTGAATCTTTGTATTGTGTGCCTTTGAGATCGTAGGAATACTTTTCACAATAAGAATCGAGTAGAGACCAATATGGGCGAATGTAACTCCATGCGTACCATCATCCCTGATCCTCCTTTCGTGGTTCTGAACCATATGGAGTTAGTAATCTCATGGATTATCAATGGGCTGGGTGTAATCTTCACGGGTCAATTGTTGTTGCCTATCTTTGTCCCTTATTTGTGGTTGCCTTAAATGATCCGTGAACGGTTTACAAGTTGCTTAAAAACTTGTTGGCGGCTCCCTAATCGTATAATGTTAATTCCTACTTCCTATGATTGCTAAGCATATTCACAACATGCTTAAGTAGGAACACTCTTCAAATGATGCCTACACCAACTAAGCAGTTAAGAGATGAGCATTCACACGCACAAAATAGAGAGAGTGAGGGTTCTTTACAAGAGCTTCCAACTTCGGATTTTTCTGGGTAGCCTTTACAAATTTGGTCATTTCTAGAGATTCCACCGTTGGATCGTGCTCAAATTTTGACATCTTATTTTTGACATCAAGGGTTTCATTTTGGACGACTGGACTGTTGGTTTGAGCTCTAGTTTGGTTAGAATCGTCTCTGGACAAAAGTGCTTTTTTTGGGTGAATTCTACTCTTTTCACTCTTTAATTTCAAACTCTTATTGTTTTTGTTGTTGGTGGGTTGTGAATCATTTGTAAACTAATTTAGGATTCTTTTTCCATTAATTTATCAATAAGAGAAGCTAGGGTGGACTCCTTAAACGGTCCCGTTGTTTTTATCCTTCACATTGAAGGGTTTTCCATGTATAATCTTTGTGTGTTGATTATTATTATTGTTTTGTCCTCATATTTTTGGTGTTATTGTTGTTTTGCTACTACTCTATTGCTAATTTAGCTGTGCTATTTTGGTTGGATGAGAATTTGGTTTGATTAGATTGATTTTGGGTTGATTGTCTTGTGTATGACATAGTACAGTGGGTGTCGTAGTGACCCCCCTTCCAATCCCTATATAAAATACAATAAAATAGTATACTATTGTTGAAAATAAGTAATTATAATTTATCTTACATCACTCGCTACCTCTGAAATGCTAGTTAATCTGCCGTTCGAGAAAAATTACGTCTACCGCTAACCGCTACTTTAACCGCTACCTTACAAATTACTTTTGTGTTTTCCAATTACTATTTTGACTGCTCCCTAAAATACTATTGCCAAATAAATATGAGGCTATTGAAGCATACAACTTTTGAATTATGTTTTGTTGTAGATGTGATCAAAATAAGCTCCGCTCAAACTAGTTGGTCGGGTGTTGAGTTGTTATTGAGCAGGGTGTAGCTTGAATCTTAAGCCAAATTTTTTATTCAATGTTCGGTGTGATTTCATGAATTTTAAGCTAAGGCTTAACTTACGGACATTTTGTTCAATGTTCATTATTTTTGTTTTGTGAGTCTAGTTGGACTAGGAACTCTAGTGTCTAGTCCTTATAGACCAATATGATTTAACCTATGATCACCTCTAATACCTTAACATATTTTGTTGGCTAGGTCATTAAACTTCCTTTATTAGTGACTGCAATTAAGCATTCTTTTCTCTCTCCATCTTATTTATGGTCGTTTATTATATCCATATATCGATTTTAAAAAAATCATTTACGTTTTAATCTTTTTTATTTTATTTTATTTTTTTTGAAAGATACGTTTTAATCTTTTGCACTTCAAGATTTTTGCCATTACAGTTGCAGTAAAATCTTTGTCAAAACTCAATTGTTAAATTAATAAACAAACTTTTGAACAATAATCTTAACTTCTTTCAATAAATGGGTCAAACTTGAAGAACTTCACATTTGATTAATTAGTGTCCATCATTTTATGAATAACTAGTTTAAGTTCATTTGTAGGTATGTTCATGTTCGATACATAATAATTGGTTACAACTAGTTCAAACTTGAAAATTCTAATGTGTGAGACATGCAAAAAAACTTTCTTAACATATTTGTACATCTTTTACAACAAACTAAAGCCTATAGCTATTTTAACATGTCACATGTATGCAGGGATTTCATGCAAGGGAATCAAGTGAAGAGTATTTAGTGTCTAACAATCAAACACCAAGTGGCGCAGGCTCATCTTCTGGCGTACCAAGCTAGATTGGTGCATGGTGGAACTGATATCTTATGGAACTTGGCAAGCAACCCCTTCCCTAGTAACTCTGGTGTTTTACTCCCTGCGGGGAATCGTGTTGAAAAACTTACTTATTGATGAACATATGTCTTTTGTGTTTCACTCTAATGGGTTGTTACCTCCTATCACTAATGTTTGTAATAACTCTAATTTAGCCTCCTTTGGGCAAACTTAATTTAGCTTTTTTACCTCTTTTCAACCAAAAAAAATAAAATAAAATAAAAAAATAATAAATAAAAAAAAATTTAAATAAAACTTATAGCTATTAACTACAAAGTACTTTTTTTTTTTAATCAGGAAAAGCTATAAAGTACTTCATCAAAGGTAAGCATGAACTTTGGGCATGACTTTAGTATTAGAAATATTGAGATAAACTTGAACCAACATAATGAATCTATGAAAACTTTAGTTCATTATTAATACTAATAAAGAAAAAAAAAAAAAAGGTAACTTAAAACCCATTTATAAATTCAAGCTCCAATTAAGATCCTTCAAGTAAGAGCGCAAATCTATATCTATACTTTCTATATTAAAAAGCGTTTCTAAAACAAAATATGTGCCACATGTCATCTTTTTTAAGCACTATAAGCATGACGTGTCAGCAGTATGAGCCACGCGTCATATCTTTAAACACTACAAATATGACATGTCACCTCCAAAACATGTATTAGATTTGACAACTAAAACATGCATATGCCTAGACTTGAAACAACAAGTATTTAGTTACAAGTCTTACCATCTTAACTATTCATTTAATTTGCTTTTCTATCTAACAAAATTATAACTAACTTAGATAATGTTGACCCTCTTAGTATTTTGATGATTGACATAACAAAACAAATTTCGACTAATGTTGTGTGTTAAGTCTTGGTAGAACAAAAAGATTCAGGTACAAACAACATGTTCCGGAGTAGGAGCAAAGGGATTGGAAGTCTTGATGATGAATATGCAAGCTTTCAAGAAAAAGAGCAAATTCCAGTCTTAGATTCTCTGTAAGCACTAGAGTATTAATGTGTAGTGGAACTCAGTAAAGAACCTTGTGTTTCTTAAGGAACTTAATTTTTTAATCAGAAAGTATTTTAAACGTAAGATTTAAATCAGTTTTATTCCTTGATTAAAGGATATTATAAAATAAGTTTTTGAGATAATATATTTTCTGTAAATAAATAAAAGATAAATAATTGTTTAATTAAAAGATAAGTTTGTTATTTTTAAATTAAATAATTATTTAAAGTTTTATCTTTGTAAATAAATATCTTTTTAAATAAATATCTTTTTAGTAAATATCTTTAACTGATTTTTGACCAAGTAAAATTGGTTGCCTAATGTTAAGGAATCACGTTGATGGCTTGAGAGAAAAGTCAGGGAGATCTTACTGCCCACTCCCTACCCAACGTTCAAAAACTTCCTAGTTGAAGTAAACGTGGAACATGGGAAGAGTGGGGAACAAGGTTGAGACTTTCCTTCTCTCTATAAAAAGCAAGCAACGAATCTGATTTAAGAGTGCAAAAATATTGAGTTTTCTGAGCCTTAAGTTTCTAAAGTATTTACTGTCTTAGAGCTGAGTTCCTTCCTGCCTTAATCTTCTCTAGTGCATTAGGAAAGTCTGTAATTACTTTTGTAATTGGGATTGGGGTTTGTGAGAGTTGTAATTGAGAGACTTGAGTGAGTCTATCACAAAGTTGTAAGTGATTCAGAGTCGAATCACGTCTGAATCACTTAGAGAATTAAGCTGCGGTTAAGGGACCGTAGTTGGGATACTTGAGTTCCTAGAGGAACTTAAGTACAGGCTGAATATTCACAGTTTTAAATGAGTTTTTGCATAGTGAAATAATTCGAAAAGCCTATTTCGTGTGTTCTCTCTTTTCATACTTTGTTTAATTCCACATAAAGTTCATAAATTTTTATAGTATACAATTCACCCCCCTCTTGTAATAGACATCATTCTAACAGATAAGATCATTAGTCTTTAATTGTACTATTTGTTTTCATTATGTAGTGACATTAGACGATTTAACAACTTAATTTTGAAGTTTAATTTGAAAAACTCTGGATTGTTTTTTTATTTGATGAAAATTATAATTTTACTTTTCTCTATTTAAATAGTCAATAGTTGTTAATTATCTTTAAATCATAACATATCAAGTATTGATTATGGTTCTCCTACTACAATTTTTTTTTCAAGTCATGAAATTTCAATATCATTATCAAAACACTAAGAAAAAATAGTCGAACATAATTTGCAAAATAAACAAGTACAAACTAGTAAGTCGGGGCATCGCCCGAGCCACACAACAGTTCGAAATAAAAACATGGACAATTCTCATGAAGTAAACTCAAACAAACAAAATTCTTTACAAGCCAAGCCTAAATAAGAATTTCAAAAACTCAAACTAGCTCGTTCAAGTTATTTAAGTAGATTGAATTAAGTGAAACTTGGCTTGGCTCATTCACAACTTTACTAGTGCCGCTCCCTACCATAATACCATAAATCATACCGAGTGGGAGTGAAAAGAAAAGTTTTACTCGCAACTAACTTGATAAAATAACATTGAAATTCATTAAGAGTAGGGTGCAGTTGATATTGCATATTTTTGCCCCTTATTTAATGTCCATAATCATTGCACTTATCTTTAATACAATTTGATTGCCAAACTACTATCTTTACGGAATTTTTTTTATTATTGCCAAACTACTATTTATTATTTATTTTTTAGGAAATGTTATTATAAATCAAAATTCGCTAGAGATACAAGACTATGCGGAAACGGATCCATACAAACAAACTCCGAACAACCACGAGTATCCCATCTTGCTACATGGTGGACTACTGTGTTACCTACCCTCCAAACATGTAAGAAAATAAAAGCATCAAATGACTGTGATAAAAAGCTAATATCATCATAAATTAACCAAATTGACGAACACCCTCTGGAGCCACTATTGATTGCCTCACACACTGAAGAAGAGTCACCTTCTAACCAAACTCGCGTCACCACTAGTCGCCTTGCCACAAAAAGCCCAACATGAGCCGCAGCTGCCTCAGCACACTCCACCTCCCACACACTATCAACTCGTCTAATCGCCACCCATACAAGCTCCCCCCGGTGGTTTTTCGCTACCGCTCCCAATCCCATATAGGAGCTAATGAGATGAGCGTCAACATTTACTTTTATAAAATCATCTGAGGGACAAGTCCTAATCGGTGACGACATCTTTGAACTTCGAGGTGGGCCTGAGAACACCTTGGCATACAAACAATAGTCCTCAACGAGTTTTGCAAAGCCCGCTGCGGTGTGAGAAGCATTAAGGGACAGACCCTCATGAACCCTCTTATTCCTGCGAAACCAAAGCGACCAAGCCATGGCACATAATACACGCAATTCATTACGATCTAACTTACCTACAAGCCAGACTAGCTTTAAGCGAAAAGAGGAGTTTGGAGAATCATTCAAAATAGATTGAAAGGGACTAGTATTCCAGAAATCCTTTCACTACTAGAAAACAGCTTATCTACGACGGAAAAAATCCCTTGGAAAACCATGAAATTCCGTCAGAAATGGTAGTTTCCGACAGAATTCCCTCGGAACACGTCGTCGCATTTCATATTGTAGGAAATTTGGCTTCTTCCGAGGGATTTTCCGTCGGAAACTTCCATGCCGATGGACTTTCCGACGGATTATAACTTGTCGGAGCCCAGTTTGTCTAAAATGGAAAGTCCGTTGCAAGCTTACGACCTTTCCGGATCAAATTCCGTAGGAAGAAGTATAGCTTCCTGATAAGTGTCATTTATGTCGCTATTTTTAGGAGTTTTCTAGTTAGTTTTTCATAGTTTTTCTATCTTTTTACTTGGTTTTAATAACGTTTTACTACATTTGTCATGTTTATGTGTGAAATGTCGTTATTGCTCAATTTTGGCTTTTCTTGCATATTTTGGTGGCTTATGACATTAGATTAAACTTTATTGGTTTACTCTTATGTTTAGGAACACTTGCATAAGTTCATTGCTCAAGATTGAAGAAATATAAAGCATAAAAGAACAAGTAATGAAGAAATGTGCACGTGATTTGCAAAGATCATACTTCAAACGCCTATATCTTTTGATCTACAAAACATTTTGGGGCGATTCCAATCGGAGATGAAATCTAATCTTGAGAGCTTTCCAACGACAGGTCATATGCTCAATTCCGATGTAAAACGTGGGAGATATGCTCATTTGAAGATGAGCAGTTTGCCCAGTCCGCAGCCAGGAGCGCCCGCTCCTCAAGGCCGCATGCCCGCTCCTCACAGGGTGTGCAATTTTGAAGTTTGGCAGAAGGTTTGGCAGAAAGTTTGGAGCGCCCGCTCCTGAGGGGTGCACGCCCGCTCCTCTACGCGCTGCTCGACTTTTTGCGGAGTTTCCTAGGCAATTTAGTAAGGGCTATAAATAGATTTTTTGCTCATTTTAGAGGGGAGAATTCATATTTCAGTAGTTTTAGGTTAGTTATAGGTTTTTAGAGAGAGAAACTCTCAAATTTTGGAGAGATAAAGTGAGAGAAACAATGGTTTTCATGGATTTTGGATAATCAAAGGAGGAATTTGATGATTTGAAGATCTCCATTTTATATCAATGAGCATTTCTTACTCTCTTCTCTCTTTATGATTTATTAATTGCTTTGTTAATCATGTTTGAGTAGATTTCCTTCTACTAGGTGTTGAGTGAAGCTTTGTTATGGTTAATTGAGTTATTTGAGATAAATTTGATGATAATTGTGTCATTAAATTGATTGAATTGATGATGACATGTTGTTTGTTTTAGATTGGATTGATCTCCCAAGATAGCAAACTTAATTGCATGTTAGTTCTAGTTTGACAAGGGATTGTGAATTAGAATTTATATATTTGATTGCATTTTGGGTAAATTTTTTCTATGCACCTAGTCAATGAGGGATCTAGGCTAGGAATTTGAGAGATTGCTCTTGATGGTAATTAATTCCCATTTTAATTCTTTCTTTGCATGATTGATTATCAAATCGATTCCCATTAACTTGTTAATTGTTCAAAGTGGATCTTTGCCCCTGGTAGACTTTGTAATATCTTGATCTTTATATGTGTGTTAGTGTAGTTGTAGTGTCCACTATCCATAAACCGACTTCGGCGTAGCTTAAGCATTAGATCGAGAACAATCCAACATTACCGTTCCTTGTGTTTCGACTCCGAACTTACCACTAGACTTGTTTAGGGGTTAGTTTAGGATTATAATAAATTTTGTTTGGCCGTGAGGAGGTTAGTCAACGACATAATTTCCCCGCGCTCAAAATGGCGCCGTTGCCGGGGAACGGTGTCAATGCTTGATTGTTTTTGATTGCTTGAGTCTAGGTCTTTATGTATACTTTTCTTTTTATTTTTCTTTTTTGCTTGTTTTTGTAAAAAAAAATGGCAAGTAACTCGTTTCCTCAATATGACAATGAGCCTTTTTGTAAATATTTCAATAGACTTGAGGGATATTTGGATTTTGATTGTTATAGTCTTTGGGAGGCTTGTGAGATTTGTTATTTTGGTTTGAATGAGAAAACTAGGGATGAAGTTGAATGCATGCATAATGGTGAATTTAGAGCATTATCAATTGATGATGCTTGGGATTTTTATGTTTGGTTTGCTTGGGATGTCTATAATAAGGGTAATCATGATTCTATTATTGATATGCAATGTGTAGATACTTCTAATATTAGCATGAATTCCCATGATTTGTTACATGATCCCTTAAGTGAACCTAAAACACATGATTTCAACTCTATTTCCTCTTTTGTTCATAATGATGAGGTACATGCTCAAGTTGATGCTAATGGTGTGTTTCAATATTCTTCATTATTTACCATGCCTTCTTGTGATGTGCTTCGTTCCCTTAATGATGAATCTCATGTGTTTGATTGTGCCCCCACTCCCCATTGTGATGTATATGCTCATGATCTTAATGTTAATTTTTCCAATCTTGGTTGTACTTCTTCTTCTCTTGTTGAGCCTCAATCTTCTACACCTTTTGAATCCCTTATTGCTACTTTTGAATCTCAAATTAGGTGCATTGAGCTTGATAATGAGCTTGGGCCTAGTAAGGAAATGATTCTTAATTCTATGAGAGGTCAATTAGAGATAATGAAAAAGAATGAGGAGCGTCTTGAGGAGGGAAGGAGAAGAAAAGAAGAGTTAAAAAGCCAATTGTCACCCTTGATGCTTGTTTGTGAAAAATCCCAATTTAATGTGTGTGTTGAGGATGATGATGATGATTTTGAGCAACCAAGAGAGTGTGAGGATCCCATTGGTGAGCATATAAGTGATGGTGAAGGAGTTGAGAATGAAGAGAGTGTTGATTTTGAAAATCTTAACCCTCTTTCCCATCTTGATGAGTCTCAAGTGCATGATTGTGATCCTTTTATCCATGAGTATTTGGATTCATTTAAGGTTATGTCTAATGTGTTTATTGAGTGTCAAATGAAAACCCATAGCCTTTTGAGTGAGTTCATTAAGAATGCTTCATGGGAGAGAGATAATTTTGAAATGAATTTGCATCCATTCATGCATGGCTTAGAGATTTTAGGCTTTAAGGAAGTTGAGGGAGTTGTTGTTCATGATTGTAGTGAAGGGGATTATGTAGTTCCTCCTGGAAGTTGGATGTTTGAGGAAGATCATGATCATGAGTGTTCTTCTTTTGAGGATTCTATGATTGATTTTCATGCTCAAATTGGTGATTTGAGGGATGGTGGTGAAGAAGAGACCATTTGTGAGACCATTGCTCCTATCCCCTTCTCTCATGTCCCTTTTTCTAGGAATTTCAACCATATCCCCTACACTCCTATATCCCTTCCTTCCTTTGTTAATGAGCCTATTGGGGAACCCCTTGCCTATGATGATTTTCATGTCCCTCATTCGTCTTCTATTGAGGAAAAAGGTGATTTTGCCACCCAAAAAGATTTTTGTGAAGAGAGTTTGCCTTTCTATTCTTCTTCTTATTTTCTTGAATTTTCTTTTGATTATTCTTCTTCTTGGCAACTCCCTCTTCACTTTCTTTTGCGTGCCCTAATCTTGGTGCATGCCCTTCTTATATCATTTGCCTACTTGTTATCTTATGAGATGTGTAGTAGTGCATTTGACAAGCTCTTGCGATCGTTGCAATATTATTTACTAGAGCAATCAAGCTTGGACCTTAAGCAAGCCATTCTCGGGAAGTAACCCGTGTTTTATTGCTTTCATTTTTTTTTTCTTCTTTTTAGAATAGATTTTCTCTCATGGAAATGTTTGTGTGCCTTTTTCTAGGTACATAACTTGGTATACTTTGGTGCATTGGTTTGGATCAAGGATCAAGGAAGTTTGGCACCACAATTGTTAGCATATCGAAAACAAGATTAAATTCTTGAGAAAAGTGGCTTTGAAAAGTTTAATTGGGTCATTTGCGGGTATATACACCCACCTAAAATCCGGTTATATCTTTCCTTGCTCTTTCTCCATTGGTTGATACCTAAAGTGGCTTTGAAACAGGACATATGTTGGGTTGTTGGATTGATCTCCTTGTTTTCCCCTTCCATGGATTATTTGATTTATGATTGAGTGTAGTGTTTCATTCAAGCTTCGGGGAGGGTATTCTATCATGTTTGGTGGGATGTTGATTCATATATGCCATGCACATTTGTACATGTATTTTCATGTTCTTTATCTTGAAAATCACAAAAAGATTTTTGTTTCTATCAAGGCAAATTTGCAATGTGTTTTCTTTTGTTCTTGCTTTGGACATAATACTTATGGACTTGTATTCTTGAATGTCTTTCTTCCTAAATTTTAGAGGTGTGCACGGTTTGAGAATGTGTTAGGTTGACTCTAGGATATGGTATGCTAAGCTAGTTGGCTAAGAACTTTGGGACCATGAAGCTCTAGTTCACTTTCTTCTGGTAAGATGGAGTTGCTCTCTATAGTGGATATGAAATCAAGAGTTAGTTATTGCTATTCCTAGTGAGGTATAATTGTTCTAGCCTTCATCATACTTTGTTGAGCGGCATATTTGGATCCTTGGCTATTGCATTCTCATATCTAGAACTTGACTTTTAGCTCCCAAGATCACAACCGAGCCACTTTAGGGGATGACAAAGACATTTCTCTTTTTATAGGATTAATTTTCAATTTTGGATTTGGTTTGCATTTGCCCCTATTACTAGCCCATTTGAGCCATATACATTATTTTCTCTAACCACAATACAAGCCTTCCAGCCTTGGTTTCACTTTAACTCCTACCTTTAGTTTGTGAAGCAATTTTGTTTTGGAGCTTGTTTTATTGTTTATGGTGCAAGTTTAGAATTATGAGTTTATTTGCAAAGCAAGTATGTGTTGTATATAATTT